GAGACTGAGTTTAAGCATGGTAGACTGATCAAGCTTTCAAAAAATATTTCAAAGCTGCCAAATACTGGGGTGATGGCATGGCTGGGGGCTTTTAGCCAGATTTATGTTGAGAATCAAGAGCAAGGAGCCCAGCAAGAGGACTTAAAATGTTGTGAGTTTGGCCAGAAAGGAAGCTCCAATAAAGCTGTGGACTGCAAAGATAGAGCCGAGAGGATCTCCATCCAAGGGAAGGAACCTGAGAATGGAAGGGATGGCCTGCGGGCATCACAGGAGGCAGCAGGTCTCCACCCTTTGCAGCCTCAGAATTGTAAAGGTCAGGGACTCTGTCTTGAGGGGAAAGCCGCAGGGTCCCATGTTCCAGAATGGCGGTGGCCAAACCAGGTTCCAGAATGGTGTGGGCATGGAGAATTTTATTCCTTGGAATCAGGGTCAGAATGCTCAGCGATCCCGGCACTCGACCCCTACAGCCAAGAGAAAAGGAAGCCCAGCTACTGCTCCAGCTGGCAGCAGACCTTGGGTCATCCATAAGGCATTGGTTTTAGGCACATTCAGAATGCAGGAGTCCTCAGGTTAAGGCTTCCACCTCGATTTCAGAAGAAGGCCTGAGAGGCCAGGCAGTGTGCCCCTGGTAGGCAGTGTGTGAAGCTGTAAGTGAGAAGTCTATTCCATGTAAATCCCAGAAGTCTGGAAAAGCCAGGAACAAGGATCATCTAAAAGAAACTGGAAGGAGGGAGCAAAGCTGGCCTAACAGGGATGCCATGGGAGCTACCATCTCAAGTGCCTTAGGGGTGGAGCCAGGTACTTTGGAGCTCACTGTAATGCGTCAACTCACATTTTAGACTATAAATGTAAATCTTGTGTTTGCTGTTGTGTAAAAATGTATACTCATCATTGTTCTAAGTTGTTTAGTAACTACTGGCTATTTCTTGCTGTTTGCTAAGATAAAATTCCTGTAACCCTCACCGATTCCTGTAACCCTCACCAATTCCTGTTAACAAAGTTAGCTTACAGAGATGACTTCAAAAGGAAATTAGATGGGCTTTAATTTCTTGAAACCTCTGGGCTATGCAAGGTTGCATGCAAGTACTCAGGTGCAAGACAACCAAAAACTAAAAGAAAGCCCTAGGAAATTTAGTTTGAGTAGTGGTCACAATGACCCTAAAAGCATTATGGTGTGTCAGATAATAAATTTGTTTACCAAATGGAATGTGGTTCCAGGTTTTTGTTTTTTATTGTGGAACCCGGGGATTGAACTCAGGTCCTTAAGCTTGCCAGGCAAGTGGTTATTCTACTGAGCCATCTCCCCAGCCCCTGGTTCCAGGTTTTAAACCACCCCCTCTGCTTCCTGGACTAGCCACCTTTCAGTCCTCGCCTTTTAGTCCTCTCCTGCATGAGAGCTAAGGGGGTTGGGGGTATTGGCTGAGTTCAGTTATAAACAGCTTTTCAAATTCCAATCTGGCTGATCTGGTTCCTGTTCTGAGCAACCCATAACACTCACAACTCATCACAGATTGCTTTGGATGTCCCATATGAAACTACAGGACTTAATGTTTGCCCTGCTGGATTTTGGACTTGTTTTGTTCCCTGTGGAGGACCACTGGAGTGGCTCTCCTTGAAAGAAGAGCAACTGTCTCCATTTTGACTGAGCCTGACCCTACAGAAATAGCTAGGACGTCTGTTCATCCTTTCAACTGGCCTTAAGCAATGTATATTGATCTAGCTGAGGTGCTGGTCATAGTCTTCAAAGGTGACATGCATGTTTCCCTGGTAACCTACACCTGATCTTTAATGTAAGCCAGGTCAAGACAGGATGAAGAGCCAATGCTCCATGCCACCAGATGGGATTGAGCCTCGAGATAGAGGCTATGACTTCCTGGGGCTTGAAAGACTACATCAAAGCTGAAGCACCAGACCCCCCCAAAACATCAGATACTATCTCAATAACATAAAACATTACTTTCTCTGCATATGCTCTCTACATATGGCAAAGTAAATGTAGAACACGCACCTAGCTAGCTCATAGTAGTCACCACTTCCCACAATTCTCCATCATTCCTCCTCAAGCCACTCCTCCTCCGCTAAATAAAACCGGGTGAGGCCCTGGGTCAGGTTTTTTGTTCCAAAAAGCCATCTTCATGGCTGGACTTAGGGCCCCTTGGCTCCCCAATAATTATAAATATGTTTTAGTGTCTTTACTTTTGCCGTGGGTTGCACTGAGAGTGGTAGATTGGAATTAACTTGGTGGGATTCCAACAACTTATCTTTGGGATTACAAATATTAACTTCTTGGACTGAGATGAGAACCAGAAAGAAACTCCTACAGTTCCCAATGCTTAGTATCCTGCTGTGTGTACCTTTTGGAATAGTAATGTTTATCTTGTGCCTTTGAATGTTGCAAGTGTTTAAGTTTTCTTCTGTACAGGGGCTCACAGCTGAGTTTGCCTTGGATCTTGGAGGAGACTTGGGACTTGGACTTTTCAGCAGTGCTGAAACTGTTGGGACTTTGGCAACTCCAAGATGGACTAAAATGTCTTTTGTATAAAGGGATGTGCATGAGTCTTTGGGGGTCCAGGGGCGGAATGTTATGGTTTGTGTATAGTTGCCTCCCCAAAGCCTCATACAATCTTGGCGCAGCCTTCTGGAGTTTGTGATTGATTACTGTGGGTGTGGATGTTGGACCTGCACTGGAGCAGGTAATTTGCATTACAATGTAAGGTGGGCAGAGAAGCTAGCTGTTTGAGCTGCTGCTACTCTTTTTATGCTCTTGCTCTCCACCGGTGCTATGAAAGGCTGCCCTCTGTTTTTTACTGCTCTGCCTTGTACCCAGCTGGCCTGAAACCTACAGTAACTGTGAGCTAAATAATAAAACTTTCCTTCCTTCAAAAAAAAGAGTTTTGGGTGGGTTTTTTTTTTTTTTGTATTTTAGGGAAGGGTCTACAGGGTGTTCAGGATCTCACTACTAGATCAGACTAGTAGTGATCCATCTGTTTACAGGAAAATATCAGAATACCACTAACAGAGTATTGTATAATATAACATTACAACTTACCTTTAACATTACTACTTATATATACCATACTTCTCTAAATATAGTATAAGTAAATCTCACAAAATAATTTTGAGCTACAGAAATCATATACCCAAGAATACATACCATACAATGTCATTTAAAGAAAGTTTCAAGAACAGGCAAAAAAAAAAAAAAAAAAAATCTATGACGATAGAAACCAGAAGTAGGGAGGCTTTGAATGGGAAGGCTTATAAAACCTTTCTGAGGTAAAGATGTTCTATATAGCAATCTGTGCAAAATAATCTATACAAATGTGTAGGAGGGTTCATGAACATGTATATTATTTAAAATTTCATTAAATTATATATTTAAGATTAGTATATTTTAAATAATGAAGTCCATAAAATGAAAAAATTCCGAAAAAAATTCAATGAAAGTAGAAGTAGAAGAGTGTCGTATGCATTAGTGGTAGGAAAACAAACTGCTCAGTTTCTAGGACAGTCAACAGCATCTAGCAATATTACAAACTTACATACTGTTTAACTCAGCAAAACCATTTCTTGGAACCTATCCAGAGAAACACCTGTATAAAACAGTTTTATGTACAAGGGCAATAACGACATATTTTTTTTTAGGAAAAAAAATTTTAAGAACATAAATATCTGTCAAAGGAAATTGATAAAAACATATT